GGGAGGGGGAGGGGGGGGGGGTCGCCAGCTCAAAACTTGACCAAAATCATTTCGAGGGTTATGAGATGATACAATGCATAATCATCGCCTTTATTTTAACCGTCTCGAAAACTTTAACACTTGTGGGAAAATTTACTGGGCACAACGTGTGTTTCATTAATCTCTAAAAATACGTTCGTGATATTTAACGACGTCTACTGCAGATCGCGCAGAAACGCTTGTAGGTCTTCGCGAGAAGTGTCCGTTACTTTTGTGAGGTAAGAAGCCAGTTGCTAACCGCCTGAGCTACGGATTTCTTTTCCAATGTTCGTGTCAGTGTGGAACCCTCCAGGCAAATGCCGGGATTTGCCGTAAATTAAGCCTCGATTGTTTCTCACCCATTAATCATCTTGCCATCAGACTCTGTAATATTAACAGCTGACGTAATCATTCTCTGCGCCTAGAAGGAACGCAGGATCCTAATGTACCGCGTGTACAGGCACCAGATGACACGATATTTCGAAAGGCGTTCTTTACGCCGCGTCTGGGCAAACAGACGCCAAGAACGTTGTTCTGCGATTGTGATAATTACGAAGCTGATTACAATTACGTAGAAGAGCCCGGTTCGGTCCTGAGTGGAGTGGCGGAAATGTTTTTGCGTTTCGTGAGAACGGATCTGTAGGGTTGGATGATGACGTCATCAAATGTAAAGACATGGCGGACAGATACAACACAGGCGTTGTTTACTGTTTATCGTAAGAGAATAACCCATGAAAATTTAACCCGTGTAATGTGAATAAATTCTCATGTGACTGGTGTAACTCACGTTGTATTTGAAACGATTATGACATGAACCAGGGACAAGTCTGAGAAAACGTCAGTAAGCGCATAAATTCATTGCTTATTTCTTGTTTCCTTGCAGGTGTGAAAGGCGTAAAAGGTTTTCTCCACGCGCCAAGATTTATTGACGGAGGTGAGTATAAGCTCCAATAACAAGACGAGGTAAAATTCGTCTCCTTTAACACTTTGACGCACATAATTTAATTTAAATACTATGATCAAGAATTTAGTTTCTATCCGAAGGAAAGCATTAAACATTTCCACTTCAAAGATGAACTCGTTAACGCCGTTTGAATAAATAATCCCTGTTTGTTATGAGAATCACGAAAAAACAATAAACACACTCTGTTAGCAGTATTCACTGTTAACGCGCTAGGTATGTTCACGTTTAATTATTGCCATTAAATTTCGAATTTATTGTTCCAGGGAAACTAATCATTATGAAAAAGTTATTTACATTATATGTATTTAACTATTCAGCACACTCAAATAACTTTAAATAAAACTGGGCGTTAGTACAACAGGAATTAAGTTTCGTACAAATTTCATGCGATGGGTCGTTTTTTTTTTAATAATGAATTTCGAATTGACCACCAAACATTGTTCAAGTTTTGACGAAGTGCAACAAAATAAAATTTGCTTCACAATTTCTGCTTAAACACAAATACCACTTTTTATCGAAATCCATTCAGGAGCGAACAAGGCTGACGGGCACCACGTCACTATTAACCCTTCGGTGCATGCAAAATAACACATAACAAGCACACTGATTTGATAACCAAAGCAAAAAAACTATTTTAAGCTCCTGGGTATTGAATTTGAGAGTTTTTCAGCGCGGTGGCGATGTGAAGTTGTAAACAAGCCCCTCCTTAATTCGCATTGTCTATCTATATGGCTGCCTGCATGTAATTCAAGAAGTGTTACAATAATTTTCATAAACGTTCACATCAGAATCATTGCTTTAATTTGAATGTGACTTGTCTTCTGGGATGTTGAACTGCGTCGTCAGATAGAATTTCACGTGCATGCTTATTATAGTATCCGCCTTGATGATGGAGGCAGTAAGCACCTCTTAAACGTTCGCAAACATCTACCAGGCAGCAAGGCGCAATATCCCAGAAGACAATAATTTTCATACTCGCCACCTTGAGAACCCGAAATTACCACCGATGCTCGAATTTGTCGACGCGTTAAACTTTTCGTTAAGATCGGGCAACACCGATGGTTACTCTGCGTCAAGGCCAACAGGTCCAAGCATCTCTGAGGGCGGAAGAGGCTGTATGTGGAATCCTCGCGTGGGGAACCAATCAGGAGTCATGCGACTCGTTCGCTCCATTCATAAAAAATCAGAGTTAAATCCTGGGAAACGAGAAGGAATTATTTACGATGTGGGAGTTTTACCAAGCTTTCGTTGGAAAATCAATGCTTATCTCGCCAGATATGATGGCAACTTCTATTGCCAAGTCGATGCTTCCCTTGCCAGATCAGGCATTCAAATATAATTCTGATGGCAACTTGTATTGACGAATGAATTCTTCTCCTGCCAGAGTACAAGTTTAGCCACAACTCTGACGGCAGTTCGTCGTTTGGAGCATCGCACTCCTCGTCATATTCTTCCTCCAGCTCCAGCACTTTCAACGGTGGCCCCGGGTCTTCTATTCAGCCCGTAAGTTACTCCAGCTCAGCCAGCCAATCCAAATCCTCGTCTCAGTCTGGTTCGTCATCTTTCTCTTCAAATGAATCTGGTTCCATCAGTTTTGGAGGCGCCGGTGGATCGTCGTCTGATGCTGCGTCATCCTCAGGCTCCTCGGGGTCATCTGGAGCATTTGGTAAGCTCAAGATGTGATAATGGGTAATTACGCTGAGTTCCTAACCCTTCCAATGAATGTCTATTTAAATAATTTTTGTTCGCCACCGAAGAAATAAGGAATAAAATTATTAAGGATTGCCAGTTTCAAAAGCAATATAAATATTAAAACAAATACATTTATTTCAATTTTTCTGCTTCTACGTTTCCACCTCGTGGTTAATTATCTCATGTCGATCAGTTTTTGAATTATATAAAGACGCTTTTAAATTGCACTGGCCACATAATGTCAAATTGTATAATAATGAATATTGGATTAGAATGGATAGAAAATTGGCCACAGTCTGTTCAACGTGATATCCCAGCATGCACCCGGCTGTAGCAACCGATAAACATCAAGTATCTTGTTTAGGTCAGCTGGTCTGTGGGCTGAGATTTGTACCTGGAGCCTCCCGAATATAAAGCCATATTCGATTGAATTAATTTATAAAAATATATAAATATTTCTTATAAATACAAAAGTCTACTCCTGGATGCTAATATTTGACTAGAATCTGATGTTCCCATATTAACAAGCAAGTGTTAGGCTACTCCTGGTTTTTTAGTTTTGTGTTGATTACGGTGGAGAAATGGCACACGTTAATATTTGCCAACTGTTTCTGAAACACTTTAATACATATTGTTGATCCCCCCACTCCAGCAAAGGTAAAGTAAATAAAATTTTATAGGCCTAAACAGAATGTGGAAGGTTAGCGCAGCAAAGTTAGCAAACGCTGACGTGTCAGTAAACGAAAGAAAAGCTAGGACGCCCATGTTTAAAATTCCTAATTTTTCATGTGCAAGAAAGCCAGGCACAAAGATGTATGTATTTTTTGTCGCGAAAACACATTAAAGTATCATCGGTAAATAATTTTTGCCGGCTAAAATTTAAAATACAACAATTTCTCCTATATCGCCTGTTCTCTCATAATGCGAATTTGCTATAACGCGATTGACTTAAAACAGAAGCTGTTTCCCTAAAGCGGGTGCATGTTGAATTGAAAGCGATCAAAATAAAGCAAATAAAGGAATTTCGAAAAGTAAACCACAAACGCAGATATGAAAGGGGCTCCGATTGTTATGATTTGGCTGTAAAAACATTAATACTTAACTATTTTCACTAGCAGGTACTCTGTCAAAATTTCGGTTCAGGTAAAACTGCATCGTGGTGTGGCGTGTTTTGGTAGAATATAGAATTAATTGCGGTATGGAATTCTGACAATTCACTCCTTGGCGTCACACCATCCAAACTCTTTACCTCTAACCTAACTTTAATTTCAACAGAACCGACGGTTTCTAAAAAGCTATTTATTTCAAAGCGCTGTGTTTTCCTGGAACCCAACTATCGCATTCTCGAGAAACAAATAGGCCTGAAAAATAGGAACATACCATCACGTGTTCTTAACCTGAATGTGGACATAATTCACACAGAGTTAAAGTACCAATCACAGAAATAAACTCAGAGGTCGATGCAGTGTTTTTAAATAGACTATAAACATCTACTGTTTCTTCCAGATGGAGCTCACGGAGTCGGAGGAAGTGACGGAGCTCACACAGTCATTGGCGGAACTGGAGTCCATGCAAGCGACGCAGGATTAGGAGGTACTGCCGGAGAAGGAAGTCACGGAATCGGAGCAAACATAGGACCTGGTGGCACAGCTGCTCAAGGATCCGATGCAAAGAATACCCTTGACAGCGTCAGTAAAACTAGAGCTCACGGAGTAGCTGGAAGCATAGGACTTGGTGGAGTAAGTGGAACTAAAGGTCACGGAGTAGCTGGAAGCACGGGACTTGGCGGAGAAATTAAAACTGGAAATCACGGAGTAGGCGAAACCACAGGACTTGGCGGAGTAAGTGGAACTGAAGCACACGGAGTAGCTGGAAGCACAGGACTTGGCGGAGAAATTAAAACTGGAGCTCACGGAGTAGGCGGAACCACAGGACTTGGCGGAGTAAGTGGAACTGAAGTTCACGGACTAGGAGAAATCACAGGACTTGGCGGAATAAGTGGAACTGAAGCTCACGGAGTATCTGCAAGCACAGGACTTGGCGGAGAAATTAAAACTGGAGCTCACGGAGTAGGCGGAACCACAGGACTTGGCGGAGTAAGTGGAACTGAAGCTCACGGAGTATCTGGAAGCACAGGACTTGGCGGAGAAATTAAAACTGGAGCTCACGGAGTAGCTGGAAGCACGGGACTTGGCGGAGAAATTAAAACTGGAGCTCACGGAATAGGCGGAACCACAGGACTTGGCGGAATAACTGGAACTGAAGCTCACGGAGAATCTGGAAGCACAGGACTTGGCAGAATAAGTGGAACTGAAGCTCACGGAATAGCTGGAAGCACAGAACTTGGCGGTGAAATTAAAACTGGAGTTCACGAAGTAGGCGGAACTACAGGACTTGGCGGGATAAGTGGAACTGAAGCTCACGGAGTTGCTGGAAGCACAGGAATTGGCGGAGAAATTAAAACTGGAGCTCACGAAGTAGGCGGAACCACAGGACTTGGCGGTATAAGTGGAACTGAAGCTCACGGAGTAGCTGGAAGCACAGGACTTGGCGGAGAAATTAAAACTGGAGTTCACGAAGTAGGCGGAACTACAGGACTTGGCGGGATAAGTGGAACTGAAGCTCACGGAGTTGCTGGAAGCACAGGAATTGGCGGAGAAATTAAAACTGGAGCTCACGGAGTAGGCGAAACCACAGGACTTGGCGGAATAAGTGGAACTGAAGCTAACGGAGTATCTGGAAGCACAGGACTTGGCGGAGAAATTAAAACTGGAGCTCACGGAGTAGATGGAAACACAGGACTTGGCGGAATAAGTGGAACTGAAGCTCACGGAGTAGATGGAAACACAGGACTTGGCGGAATAAGTGGAACTGAAGCTCACGGAGTAGTTGGAAGCACAGGACTTGGCGGAGAAATTAAAACTGGCGCTCACAGTGTAGGCGGAACCACAGGACTTGGCGGAATAAGTGAAACCGAAGCTCACAGATTAGCCGGAAGCACAGAACTTGGCGGGGAAATTAAAACTGGAGCTCACGGAGTAGGCGGAACTACAGGACTTGGCGGAATAAATATAAATGAAGCTCACGGAGTAGCTGGAAGCACGGGACTTGGCGGAGTAAGTGGAACTGAAGCACACGGAGTAGGTGAAAATACAAAACTTGGTAACATAATTAAAACCCATTCTCATGGTGTTGTTCGTGGTGGTGCACACGGCAAGTCTGGATATCATGGACCTGGCGATGTAAGCAGTATTGGAGACCACGAAGTGAGCGCAAGTCACGGAACGGACAGTGTCATAGTATCTGGAACCCACGGGATTGCTGGAAATACTGGATTCGGTACCGTAAGCGGCAGTGGGTCAGATGGAGCTGATGGTGTTGTTGGTTCTGCATCACATGTAGTAGGTGGTGATTTTGGCAGTGCTGGATCACACGGATCTGGTGGCAGCGGAGTTAAAACTTACGGTGGAGCCGAAGGTCACGGATTCAGCGACGGTGCGGAGTATGGCAAGAGCGGAGGATCCGAAGGAACGGTAGGAAGCGACAGTGGACACAAAGTTATCGTCACTGGAACTGGCCACTCCACTGTCGGTGGAGCTCAAGATGGACTCGGTGGGATTTTTAAAAAGTCTGAGATAAATGGCGTCGGAGTTTCAGACAACTCAGCTCACGGAGATGATGCTGTTGGCAATACTGGTACCTCTTCCACGAGCTCATCTGAAGCTCACTCTGGAAGTTCTTCAGGCTCTGCTGTTGATGATGCTAGAAGCGCTGTTGGATCAGAGTCGCAGTCGTGTTCCTCGTCCCTCAGTTCCTCTGTCAGTGGATCAAGTCACGCCGCTGAAGGGGTTAAGGGTGGGAAGAGGCGTCCTGCTGGGGTGAAGGGCGGGCTGCCAAATTATGGTTGAACATTTATCATCGATCTCCATTCCATTAATTTTCCTAAAATTTAGGTAGACATTTTAATCATTTACTCGCGCTGTTAGTACTGTGTTACGTACCGCATGTCATATGTCTTCAGCGCTGTATAAATGTGGCGCCTTGTGATATTAATTACAATGTATTTGTAAAATTGTGTCTTCCACGTCTGTTTACCTGATTCTACTTTGAGGCACGATAGCTTAGTCACTAAAGAAACTGTGCTACGTGATCGGATATCGATCTATTCTCTCCAGTGGCTGCAAATTCTTTATCTATCACGACGACAAAACTGGCTCTGGGGCCCACTGAGAGGCCTGTCCTCTTGTCCTGGCGACGTGTACCTGAAAATGCCTATCTGCTGTGTTATCGGTTCGTGAAGTCGTAACGACGTTTCAGAAGTGCGTCTTTCCGCCGTCACCAGAGCCATGTTATGAACTGTTCAAGACTATAATTTTCCATAGGGTCTGGAGGTCAATCAGAAGAAAGAAACTTTTCCTTTGTGTTCTCAACTGTTCAGTAGAGTGAATAATGACATACAGATAGAAAATGACTTAAAAGGACGATGTCTTGGCGCACATTCCCTCGCCTTTTATGATAGATTAATGACGAGTCCTCCTGGGTAGAAGCAGGCGTGCTCACCACTGGAGCACTAAGTCGTGAGAACTTTGTTGATTTGTCGATGTCCTGCCTGAGATCCGAATCAAGTACTTCCGAAATCCAACTGAGCTGTTTTCTGTCATTGAGCTGGCGTCTGAGATACACAGGGTCTCGTCGAGGAAACTGTTCTCTTGCGTCTTATTAAGATCGATACTTCACACAGTGTACAGACGATAGACTTGTAAAAGACGCGTCGTTTGTTTATGAGCGAGTAACTTCCGCTGCAAGCAAGCGTCGCTGTAATGAGCTTCACTACTTCATGTAGTGTTACTTGACTTGAGTACCTGTAGTAAATATGACCATGTAATGCTTCTCTGTTTTCCTCTCCATCATATTAAAATGGTTTTAATACAAACGCTATGTAAGTGTCCACAAATAGAAATCATTTAACAACATTAAACACTTTTGCCACCTTCGTCTCTTACCACATGCGCCAGAAAAGAATTATTTTCACAAAGAAATGCTTTGGCCATAATATCTTCTCAAATCAGACACCAGACGTCCTACTCAAGAGGTTGGCACTGCTACATCTTCTACACTAGATCCAGGAGACTGGCAAACCTGAGGTTTCTCGTAGTACGCCTCTGTCTCCTCAGGCAAATACCCGGATAGTACTTTAAAATAGGCCACGACCGCCTCCTTCCACATCCTTTCAAGTCTTCAAACGCTTTACAGTCTGAGCTACTCGAAACGTTGTTAAATAAAATATAAATAAATTATATTTTCATCATGCAGATAATGTGGTCAACCAAAACATTCCTTCCTACAGATAAATTTATATATTAATATATAAAAACAATGTATTAAAATATACAAAGTTTTAAAATATTATTACGATTTTAACCTAAAAATAATAAAAAGTTGCACGCTTTTTCAATATTGGAAATCCGTTCATGCTTGTTTATGATGTATAATCAATGAATCGATTTACTTTGTGATTTTCGTAGTGATTTTTTCCCTTTAATTCCGAGCTAAGAAGTCAGTAACATTGGACACATAAGCTGCATTTTGTTTACTTCTTTCTGTCTCTGTCAGAAGGGTGTCCAACAAAGAATTGCACGAAATTTGGTTATTCTGTATAGAAACACAAAAATGTTCCTTTCGCTTGAGCTCTAACTAAATTAATGCAATTACTCTTAATTAAGATTAATTATAAACCACTTTTGTTCTCAAAGACATATGCCCGTTGTTACAACGGGTCTGATGACAATCTGCAACAGTATGAGTAAGAAAGCAAATTCGCCATTATTTCCTTCACGTACCTTAATCCTCAGATAATGTGACGAAGCTTTTCAGCTTTACGAATTTGAACTTACGGCTGAGTTCAACAAAAACTGCGGAGGTAGCAAGTTATCGTGGACGATAGAGAAGCAACACAAAGCACCACAGTTGCTGCAGAATAATCTAAGTACGAATTTGTATTCCTTGCACAGAGAATTTTCTCTTTTTTGGGGGGGGGGGCTGTGGCCTTCTGCCGGCTTTTCATCAAACTCGCCTGGCTTCCCCTCCAAACGACAATTTTCATTTTGATTTACACCCCACTTATTTTTGTCTTTTTCGCCTTCCTTCTCTCTTTATTCGTTTCCTTTTTCTTTAACTCGCTGACCTTCGTGTCTTTGTTACGAGGCCATGAAGTTCACTTTCCATTTCAGTTAATTGTCATTTTCGCTGCATTGCCAAACCTACTTTCAAGAGATTGAATTACTTTTACGTATAATGTAATTTTAAATTACATTTATAGAACAAGTAAAATCTTTTCTTATTTTTATTCCTTGGAACTGTAATTCCCATCTTATTATATAATTAATTCTAAAAACCTTTATTTTTATATGCTTTAAACTAGGGCCTTCTATTTTCACGTTAGTCAGTGAGTAACATTCAAACTGGCAAGAATTGTAGCTTAACCCGTCAGCGGTGCGGTAAAGATAATTGAGGCAGCAAGGACCTCTGAAACGTCGGTTAACTTCTACCAGACTACGCAGCTCAACAACCCAGAAGACATCCATCTTCAGACTCACCGCCTTGAGAAACTCAAATCCTACAAAACTCGATCTTATTATTAAAAGTGTAACTGACACACATAAAGTTTAACTGAAAGCTGACGACAAATCTAAAATACGTGTCCAGAAACACAGCAAGGTATTTAATTAAGCACACTTGAGAAATCTGTACACACTCAGGAGATGCTGGCATCTGTAAATATAACGTCAGGCCACATTCTGGCACAGTATTACGTTCGCGATAGCCTTTTCAAACTTCGAGCGACATTTATTACGCAGTGTTGTAAGGTCTGCGGCCTGTGGTGAGCTTTCAGGCTCTGGGCAGTTCAAACACGCGAAAAGGGCATAGCGTTCCGCAGAACGCAGACAGTGATATGTCCGTCTGTTTAGCCGATTATTGTAAACGACACCGTGACAAAAGTGTCTTGAAGTCAGCAGAGAGTGAAGTCGATTGCATAACTCAAGTCACACACTCGCTAGAGTCTCGCTTCGCCATCAGTTCGCTGCTTCTGATCGCTGAGTCAGCTAGACAATGGGACCATCTGCACTCCGCGCCTGCGCGTTGATTGTTCTCTGCGCAGTAGGTAAGTGCGCTGCCCGATTGATTGCTCTGGAATTTGATTATTGGAGTCGATCATATGTACTCTAATTGTTTTATTGTTTGAGGGCGTTGTGATCGCGATGTAAACATATACCACACTACAAGGCGGAACAACCCACAAGACAGAAATCTTCTTCTCTTTAGCATAACGTACAGGTAGAAGTTGACAACAGATCCAAATGTAAAATGTTACTGTTCATCACACTTTATTCAGGGATATTCCTGCCGAGCACGTATTAAAATCGGCCCGTCTGTCCGTCCGTCTCTTTGTCCGCTTGTGACAACTCCAGAACTGCAGACAGCGTTTTCATAACGTTTCAGATTTCGCAGACTTGCTAAAATTGTCGGCAAGTTCCATTTCTGGTAAAGCAATAACGGGCACTTTGCATGAGAAGCGTCTTGCGTTTCTCTGAGCCGAAACGGCTGGATGTTGAGTCCTCAAGCCACGTTCGTAACCATTATTGCTGTGTTTGCCGTGGTTAAAGGTCAAACTTCGGGGAACGCGTCGAAGTTGTGAGATTTGAAGTGGTGAAGACGTCGATGTATTTTTCTATGTC